CAGCTCATGAATTCTGCTTGTCACCTTAAGTCTCACGGCGGACGCCCAGGCTTCTTCGCAAACTGTTTCAACTACTCTTTGACTATTGCAAGGTAGTGTTGGACTCCATTGCCACTGGCAAATGAAGGAGGTGATAAGTCTATCTACTTGAGGGGAAACCTAAACCCTAAACCCTAAATGGTAGTTTCCATTTTCTTTTCCAGTATCTCAATCTAGCCCTTATGTAACCCCTATATCTACTTAGTGCTTGGAGTGGTCGTGGGACCTACATGTGGAACTACAAGGCCGAGGGCTGAGGGGTTGTAGCCAGAGGGTTGTACCCCTTCCCTTTTAAGGAATTTTAGGGATTACACTGGTTCATATACTGGCTATATGAGGGGCCATGTCAAGTGTTAAGGGAACCTTTTAGAGATACGACCTCCGGGGTGGCAACTCTGGAACTCGATCAAAAAAAAGAGCCAACCATTGCTTCGGAGGTGGTAGGCAGTGATGACTGCTGTCTACTTGGCAGTTGACTGGTTGCAATTGTTGAGGTAGTTATATGGATGACAACTACGATTCTCCCTGCGTAGTATGTCTCATGAGCCTCCCCACGCTTCCCCCTACATGTAATGACCCGTGAGCTACGTAGGGATCAGGGAGTTTAGACTGGAAGAAGCGTCGGGCAATTCCAGCTCCGACGAGTCACAGCTTCATGTAGAGTATGTGTGACCCTTGTTGGAACTACGCAGGAACCTCCAAGCAGATCATCCCTGACGTTGCTAAGCATTATCGTCTGTATCGATTGGATCCAATACCAACGTCAATCCCACACCCCGAACCCTAATAAACCCTAGGCCCTACTATACACCCCATGCCCCAACCGCAATGCCCGCAAACCCGGAAACTCTGAAATCCCTTACCGCGCCTCGCTAACCGCTTGACACAAACCCGAAAATCCTCAACCCACCACACACCCAAAGCTCTCAACCCAAAGCCACCGAACCCCAAAACTTTCAACGCCCAAGACCCAAAACCATAAACCCTAAGCCCTAAACCCTAAATAGTAGTTTCCATTTTATTTTCCATTATCGCGATATAACCCCAAATTAAACCCTACACCCCAAACCCATTCTGCCTTGCAGCCGCTGAGCGCCCGGCTAATGCGGAGCGGCCTGGAGGCTTCCGCAGTGAGCTTTTTTCAAGATGTCATAAAATGTTTGTTTAAAGTTTAGGGACTAAGGATTCGGGTCTAGGGCTTAGGGTTTAGGGCTTAGGGTTTATGGGTATTACCCCCTCCATAACCCAAAACCAAATAAAGAAGCAGTAGGAAAGGAAACGGAAGCTGGTATTACATATAGGGCTTTACAGGCGCCTAAGTCACTAGAATAGGGTTCTGGAGTATGGTCTACTACAACCGCATGTAAATTATAAGGGAGTAAGAGGCCTTTGGCATAGTAGTGAAGCAAACAACTTGGCCGTGAAATAAAGAACCGTGTTTCTATTGTGAAATCATTACGTGATAAACGAAAATCGTGTTAACCAACTGGCGCGTTAGCACGGAAAATGCCTAGGTTCATAGGGAATTGATTTAAAAAAAATGGAAACCAAGCCCTCAATGTCGGACCCTAGGATAGTCAAAAGACATAGGCTATAGAGCTATATATATGTATATATATATATATATGTTTGTGTGTTTGCCTGGGGGGGGTTGGGCGTTGGGTTAACAGTGCCTTTTCCTTAGTTACAGACTTCTGGGATTTAAGACGGGTTTGAGGGGTGTATATTCTGGCAGAAGTCTAAAAAAGTTATGAGAGAATGATGTTTCATAAGGGTGCTTTATTATTATGTAAAACCAAACAACCAAACAGAAAATCACATGGAATGACATGAAGAGGGGGGCATCAGGGGAATCATGTAGGGGGATAGGTATTATTGTATTATCTTGCTTGAGCAACAATACGGGGCTATGGTAACCTCAACACCCCAAATTGATAGCTATATGCGCTTACTTTGGGGCTCGATTTACTAAACCCTTGACCCTTAGACCCCAAACTCTAAGCCCAAAGCCTCTATACGCCTTGAGGCGTCCGGAAGGCAGGTCTTGTGAAAAGAAAACGTAAAGGTCCAAAAGGGTTACCAAACCCTAAACCTTACACCTAAACCCTTCTTTCATGGTCCATGAGTTTGAAGGAGAACTGATTCATGAATCAGGGCTTTGGGTTTAGGAGTTGCAGGGTTTAGAATGTAGGTTTGGGGTTGTATAGGGATAATGGAAAAGAAAATGGAAACTAGCATAATGGGTTACAGGGATTATAGGGTATATATTGAGGTTATAAAGGGTTTCAGTTTATGGTTTAGCGTTTTCAGTTCGCGGTTTAGGCTTTGGGTTTTTGGAACCTGGGGATCTGTGTTTGGGTTTGGAGTGTAGAGTACAGGCAGTGGGTTGAATGACCGCATTATGTTGGGAAGGAGGGGCCCAAAACGCAGCCATAGTTATCCTAAACCCTAAATAGTAGTTTAGGGTTTAGGGTCCCTACACCCTACACCCTAAATAGTAGTTTCCATGGTATTTTCCATTGCGCCATAGTTACTTGAAACAATCCACTAATGCGCGGTGCAGGTCCCCAGAGGCTGGTTCTCCAAACCACCAGGTTTTGCCAGGGCCTAAGCTGGACTTTTTGGGTTTACTTTAGTAGAAGCCCTCACCCTGTAATAGTGGTATAACAGGAATATAAGAGGACCCTAATATAGTTACTACTATCCCTTATAGTCACTATTACAGGGTGGGTGCTCCTCCTAAGGTTTACTGGCGAATTGCTGAAGGGTTTGGGGCTGAGGGTTTATTGTGTTGTTCTTGATGTAGGGTCTGTGTAGGGCTGGTTAGGGTGTAGGGCTGGGGTTCAAATCGCTTTGGTGGACATATCTGCAAGTGCTATGCAGTCTCTGACCCTCTTAGATGCAACTCGGCCAGTGCTATTACAGCGTCGTAAAGAACCATTGGTTTTTCATGTGGCCCGCGTACCGATCTAGCGCAGGGCGAGTAATTGGGGAGTGAAGCAGCACCAATGCAATTGCATGACTAGACTAGAATTTGGATACTGCAGCTACCTACGACCACAAGGACCATACCACATGGCTAGCCTATGCAGGGACATTGTGTGCGGTATGGTGTCAAGGTAGGTCATTGCTGTGCCTTTTTGTCGGTTTTGGTACCTCCTAGCAGGGGTTCCTTTGTCTCGGGTATGGGTTATTCTCAGAATTGTTCAATGTCAGCTTTTAGTTGGCGACCCTGACGTCCCTAAACAACAGGGCTTTCAGGGCTTCTTCTCTTCTTCCACCTCGCCATGACTGAGCCCCCAGGACGCAGAACACCAGAATCGGAGAATTCCTTGGCCCCCCGCCCCCACCATAAAGAATCCTATTCACGTGCGGAATACACCCTAAAAGGATCATCTTTTTGAAGCCCCGCCCTATATTAGTGGCAGTAGTTGTGAATTAGGGTCCTGCCACAGGTGCCTTTGTTCAACCCTTCACTGTCCGCGGCTCACGGGGCTTTTCACACATAGGGATCATGGAAGGGAAAGTGGAAACTACTCTACTATAATAGGGTCTATACTGGGTTATATAGGGTAATATAGGGGCTATATAGGGATAATGGAAAAGAAAATGGAAACTACTATTTCGGGGGATGTCAGGGGTACTCCCCCCAAACTCACATGCTGCAAACTGATTTGAGATGTCTCTTGACAGGGGTTGTTGGGGTTATATCGGATATTTGGAGTTTACGTTTGTTGAGTGAAGTTTTGGGGTGCAGCCCACAATATGATGTGTGTATATATGTATATAGAGTAAGATAACATTTTCCAGTTGGCTATACTCGTTTGTGATAATAATATTATCTTACTTCTCAACCGACATAAACCCTACTCAATGAGGTCAGTCGTCTTCATAGCCCACCCCCTTCAGGTTCCAGATTAGTTTTGGTGATTTTTGTCGCGCGTCATTCATGCACAGAGTGTCATGGATAGATTTTGACATCCACCTTGTCTCGAATCACCACCAACCCTTGACGTGGCCGCACCCTAAACCCTAAACCCTGATATTTCTTTGGGAAGGGACCCCCTGGGGTTCTTGGAAATAATCTTTAGTTTTTGCTTGTTATAACCCTGAGGAACATCGAAAATTCTATTTTTACCAGACTTCCAAATTCCCGAATGGGTAGCCTAGAGGTGAGGCCCAAAACACTCGGTTGATGGCCAAGCTTTCCTGGAGCAATCTTGAAAACAAATGCGGTCCCCCTTCCGTAGATAGAATATAGAATATGTAGTTGCCAATATCACAAACAGATCCCTATGTACTCCATATTCTAAACCCTAAGCCCTAAACCCCATAGATATACATATACTGAAGGGGGACTATACGTATAATCCTCTTTACTCTATCTGGCAGAAGGCTGACCCTGGACGATGGCGCCATCCTGGCCGTGTTGCGCATGTCGAACGGGCCTTGGCCCTGGAAGCGGGAACAGCGCATGGGCTTACTGGGTTGCTGTTAAGGAACTTAATTTAAGTTACCATAATGGGTATATATAGTAAAAAAAAATGGGGTTTCCCAATATAGTAACTTAATTTAAGTTCCTTAGCAGCAACCTAGCTTATCTATAGTGTGTGTCTGTATATGAGCCATCCTCTACACTCCTAGTATCCCCCGCCAGAACCCCTTATAGTAGTCCCCTATAGAATCCCCCCCGCATAACCCCCCTTCAAGGAGTTTAGACTACAGCTCATATGTTTATATACAAGGCCGGATGGCCTCCAAAGGAGTTGGTCTTGCTGGCCAAACAAGTTGATGTGAAGATGCACTGGTGTCCCTTGCGACTAAGTTGCTCCACAGACGCCCAGT